AAACAAAGAATCTTAAAAAGACTGCTTTGCCAGCAGCTAACTCCCCGGTTGCTTAACACCAATTTCCTGTAACAAATACACTTAATAGTTCTGTTTCTCTTTCTAAACCCTGACTGATACACACACACACACACACACACACACACACACACACACACACAAACTGTATGAAACTGAGAATTTGAAAGTCATCTAGTTTCATTTCTGCCAATTTTGATTATTGTTTTATGGAAGTTATTTTGGTGGGTTTGAAATCCTTTAAAGTATATGGGATTTTGCAAATGATTCTCTTGTACACCATCTCTAGGACTCTGAGATGACTTCAGTCTATGTTTAGGCATGCCAAGTATTTCATACATAGTTCTCTATCTGTATATTCTCTTGGACTCCTCCCCAGGCATGTGACAGTAATGCCAATTCTGATCAGAATATGATGTTTATATTCCATCTTTTTATTTTGTAGGGAATACAAAGCTGAGGTGGATTAAGTTCTTAGGAGTTTTTAAGAGGCATGTTGTGTACTACCTGTAAAGTAGTTCTTAGAAACTTGTGGGTTCACCTTACCAAAGATAGACACAGAAATCAAAAGAAAGTGCATTTGTCTGTGAGATAAAGAACTTTGATTCAGGAGCAGGCAGGTAGGCAGGCAGGCAGCCCTGGATAGTGTCCCACAAGCAAACACAGGAACAGATTTCACAGGTTATGTCCACAATTGTGAGAGGCAATTTATTGAATGGGAGATGGAGAGACAGAGAGAGCAGAAACAACACTTCTGGTGAACTATTTTCTTCAACCAAACTCTACTAGTTCCCATCACCCCCCAATAATGTAACCAGACTATGAAATCATCCATGGACTAATCTATTGATTAGGTGTAAGTCCTCCTGATCCAGTAACTTTTTAATGTTTAGATTCACTAGCTGGACCAAACCCTTCAACATCTTCAACATATGAGACTTCTTGGGATCATTTCATAACCAAACCACCACAGTGAGTTAATGAGGGTATTCCTAATTGAACAACGTTGAAGGCTGCATTAAATTGACTTCACTCAGTTCACATAAATTAGAACACTCTGTGAGTTGACTTTTAGCAAGTATGAGCATATTTCTATCTTCTTTCTAAAAGGACTTTACCCTACTTCCTTCATTTTTGCTACAGAATCAGTATATATTTCCGGTTTTTATTTTCACTTCCATTATTTTCAGAACATTAAAGACACAGAATAGTGTCTAATACATGGTTGAAATGTAGTGAATACTGGGTGAATTAATGTAGAAAGAGTTATTGATTATGAATGGATAAGGATAAACCCTTAAAGCTAGATGGATGGGAGAATTGGGAAAATATGTTGTTCTTGTTATTTCAGTTGCCTTGTAACTCTCCTTAGTCATTCAGAAAAATACAGAGAATAAACACTGCCAAGTTAGTGATAACTATCTGTACATGGAGAAACTACTTAAAATAACTGCTTCTGGTCATGATAGGGCTTAGGCATTAGAGGCAGTAAAAGACATTCATGCATTCACTCACTTATCTTAAAACAATAACCACACAATTTCCAGTTTGGACTTTTACTCCATGGTGATGCCAAAAATAATATTGACTCCCCTTATCAACACACAGAATTTCCTAATGAGATTACTAACTTTGTTTTTCTTTTTGTTACTGTTTTACAAGTGGTTCTAGCCTCCCTTATCTGTACTACAAATGTAAAATGAAACCAAAGCTATGCAAACCTGAGAGACAAGGCATGGCATGTTCCCATTTTGAGAACCCTTCTTACGGTCCCGTTTCCTTTCAGTTTCCCTTTCCTGGCTAAGAGTGTGTGTCTGGTGTGAATAAGACTCAGTGTCAGTAGCCCTAGTGACATCAGCCAAAGGGCCACAGCCTGAGAAAGAACAGCAATCTTTACCAAAGCAATGTGTTAGCTTGCTTTCTCTCAGGAAGTAATAACAACGTTGGTTTTATGTTCTCAGTTTAACAACTTTATATCCATGCTGATAGAAAAGGAAAAGTAAGTCATAAGACTAGTTGGACTGACTCCAAAGCTGAAATCCAAAGCAAGAGTTAAGGGATTGGGGACACTGTGACCAGAGGAGCTTACGCAAGACACATGTAATGTGTAGGAAGGGGGGGGGGCGGTCCTAACATTTAACAGCTAACAATGTGGCAGCACCAGCCTTGGGTTTCTCCTGATTTATCTCATTTAATCCTTATAATAAATGTATTCAATAGGAATCAGAGGCAGAGAAAGACTAAGTAATGTTCCCAAGGTGACACAACCAAGAGGTTGTCCTATTTTACTTTAAGACCTAGAAAATCTAAAATCATTTTATTTAATTTTATTTTTATTTTTTGTTGGTCGTGGGGCCTGAACTCTGGGCCTGGACACTGTCCTTCAGCTCTTTAACTCAAGGCTAGTGCTCTACCACTTCAGCCACAGCACCACTTCTGACTTTTTCTGCTTATGTGTTGCCGAGGAATCGAACCCAGGGCCTCATGCATGCAAGGCAAGCGCTCTACCACTGAGCCACCTTCCCAGCCCTCTAAAAACATTTTGCGGTGAATATTAGCCTAAGATATAAAATTACAAATGGAGAGGGTCTAAATAGTTCTTTAGGCTGTGGGAAAGAAATCTCATGAAATCTAAGTGAATGCTAAAATCGGTGTCTAAAGTTCAAATTTAAAAAATATTAACAGAAGATGTGCAATATATACACACCATCAAGTTGTGAAGATTATAGACCATACAGAAAGACAGAGTTGTGTTGAATGTACCAGGATCTTTACCTAGCAATTCTGTTTGTATTCATATTTGTACACACATGCCAAGACATATATACTGATGTTCATGCAGCTTAGTTTGTAACAAAGCACCAGAAAAAAAACCCTGAAAGAACAGACAACAATAAATGAGAGATCTTATTTTATTAGTTTTCATCATGCCAGACATGACATACCATGAAGCTAATGCAATAATAATGGTAATAGTAACAATAAAGATGGTAGTTTTAAATGAAAGAAAATGTGCAATTCTTATCTCCAAAATATATACGAGGCAAATAAAGAGGGTGAGGAGGAGGTGTGGCCCAGAGCCCGGGGAACCTCCCAGTGCCCTCAGGTACTCCAGTTACCTGGGCAGGGGCCGGAACTGCTAGGGAAGGGAGCCTGTGTGCACTGGGGGAGAACAATGGGAAGAGGCCATTTTTCCCAGGCGGACCTAACATATATGTGGGGATTTATTGGACTGGCTTTCGTGATCACAGGCTGGAGAGTCCTCTAATGACCATTTGAAGGCAGGAGAGCCAAGAATATGAGTGTCTAAGAATGACCAACAATGCAGTTCCTGCCTGAGGTAGAAGCCCTGGGAGTCCTCTGGGACTCCATGCTCAATACTGAAGAGTTGAGTCCTTGGGCAACAGCACCTGCAAAAACCCACACCTGCTTAAAAAAGAGTACTGAGTGAGTGTCCGTGCAAGCGTCTCTTTCACTTCTTCAATCTTCTCTGACTTTTTGCTCCGTCCAGAGCCTTACCCACTTTCAGGGCAGGTCTTTCCCAACTCAGTTTGCTGACTCATATAGCAATGTCTCTGGAAACACCCTACAAACACAGCAAGAAGTGTGCTTGACCATTGTCTAGATGGTTAAGATGTCTGCCAGTCCAGTTGAGTGGACAATCAAGATTAGCTAACACAAGAATGAAGAAGGAAAAAGCAAGAAAAACACATTGCTCGGTCATCACAAATACTTTGTGGTATTCAAATGCTGAATACCAGAGATTTAAAGTGTCTAGGTCTCAGAGAATCCAGAGACATGTAAAGATGTTAAGCGACATTTGGCTTAGGTTGGAATCAGGTTAGATTGAGAAATGTCAGAGGATTGAAGGCTCTAAGAAAATCAAACGCCAAATGTCTCCCTTCTGGTCTCTTTGGTCAATGATTTTAATTATTAAAAAAAATCTAACATTTAGTTATTAGGTGACTGGCATCTTCATCAGGATATCTCATGTATTCGCTCATTGAATTCACCCATCACCCTTCATGAATATTATTCCCAATTCCCAATAAAAGAAACTAGCTGACAGTCAACAATTTCCTCCAAGCTGCATGCCATACAGATGGAGTTTGATTTCAAATGTAGATTGCCTCACATCAGAATCTGTGCTTCAAATCATGTGTTGATTAATGGCAACTGTTGGGGAAATGGAAGACAAAAGAAACGGAAAAAACTGGACTTCAGGTTAGGACTGTTGATTGAGGCACAACAGTAAGAAACTCAGCCTCCCCACAGGCTGGAGGCTGAGCTAAGGTGTGTGTGAGGGGGAGAGGGGGCTGAGTCAGGGGTTTTGTAGAGTCTGGGTGAGGAGACAAGGCTTACTCGCATTTAGTGTATAAGGGAATGACTGCAGATGCAGGCAGAGACCAGGGTATGTATTCCCTTATCCAAGGTCTCAAGCTTCTTGTAAAAATGTTCAAACAGCTCTACATCTGTCTTGCCCAGACCTTTTGGCCTTCTCAGGGTCCAGTTCTGTCTTCTAACTCTTTAACCCTTTCCTGGCCTCACAGTTCTGCCTCAGATCCTTACAGGCTAGTCCCATAACGGAACTTTTACAGCCAGGCTCAGGTTGCACACTTGGGATTAATAGGGTGGAGGTCAATTCTTCAGCAACGATGACTTTTTTTGATGACTGCCATACCAGTCAATGTGTACTCATCACTGCCGAGGCTGGAGCTTCGTTATCAGTGAAGGGAATAGACTAAAAACTGGTAGGGAGGTTAGCTGGGATTCCAAGGGGTGATACATAATGGTGAGGATGGTTTCACAGGACTTCAGGGAGGGGCTTTGTGAAGGTTGGAAATCTTGCCTGTCACAGCTCCAGATCTCAATCAGTTCTGACTGGCTGTACAGGGCCTCTCCCTGAAGGAACTGGCTCTTACTCAAAAGAAAATTCACTTTCTAGTTTCAGTTTCTTTGCTGACATCAACTTCACGGAAGCAGGAAAAGAAATCAGAAGCTGTTATATATTGCTTTCTAGCCTTCATCAGAGGCAGAGGAGGAACATTTCTGAAGAGAGTGGAAGCCTGAACTGAGCCTTTAAGAGCGTTTGAAACTGCCCGCATCAACCATGAGGTGAAGGTTCTTCTCCCTTCTCTGTATGCTGAGACGGTGTCTATGTTGCTGTGGAATGCAAGTTCTGAGCTCTACAGTCCAGAGCAAGGCCAGCTCTGTTTGGAGTTTATTTAATCACCTTATTGGACTTCTGTCTCGATAGCTGTAAATCTGTGCTGTTAAATCTGTGCTGTTTACTGGTGCTCCTTTGTTTCTTCCTCTGATTTCACTGTGCAGCCCCTAAGGGCATCTGCAGCTCTGTCTCCTGGGGAACTGAGAGCTGAGATCTGAGACAGAATTAGGCTGAAATATGTTTAATATAGTGTGTTTGTTAGCAACCTTCTTGTACAGATGTGTCTGAAGGACTCAGTTCTGTTTCTTGTTTAAATGCTTTAATTGGTGGATATTTATAAAAGTATTATTTAATAAAAAAAATAAGAAACTAAGGATTTAGTTTCTTCAGAGTTAAATGGTACTCAGATTGCCAACCTCATTTCCTGTGGAAATGAATTTAACTTTTAATACCATTGTCAGTGTCTAGGCTGTTAACTAAAGAGCCCAGGAAGCAAGTATCAAGAATTAGCCTTTCTGATGTATTACTCCTTTAAATATAAAGCCAAGTTCAAGCAGTGACTGTGGACATGAATTCAGTGCTGCTTGGAGAGATGTAATTAAGTATCTTTACTGAATATCTCTCTCCTGTACAGCTGCTATGTTTTATATCGTAGAGATATAAAACTGTTTCTTTTATGAAGTGAAAAAGAGCTGTGTGTGTGTGTGTGTGTGTGTGTGTGTGTGTGTGTGTGTGTGTGAAGGAAATACTCCAATAACCTCACTAAGAAGGAAGCTATTTCAGATTGGTTGTGGGCTTTTCAAAGGGAGATTGTTGTTATTAAGAAGTCCAATACCAAGCCACTCTCCTGTCCCCATCTACTGGAGGTATTGTAATGATTTTCTTTTTCTCTAAAGAAAAGGTGGGTCCTTCCAAGAAACTCCTGCTCCTTTTCCCTCCTTTTTGTGCTTTTGTTCTTGTTGTTTATTCTGGACAGGAGTTAAGTCTCCATTTATGTGAAGAATAAGAGACACTGCCTTAACATTCCAGCAGTGCCTCACAAAAAGTGATCCCCAGAGGACTAGAATAGGAGGATATGGGGGTGGGGGTGGGGACTCCTGCACCCACAGTCTGCAGCCTGCATGAGAGAATGGGGTGAGTCCTCCAGGATAGAGCCACCATCACAGTGCACAACAGTCTTTCTGTTTGATATGAAAAGCAGAAAAAAGAGGCAAATAGAAAGGGGGAAGAAGACTTGTGTGGACATTCAGACCAGGTGTGTGATCCTCCCCACTCCTCCCCCGTGGTTATCTAGGTATCTAGTGGTTGTATATGTTAGAATTCATCATGTTCAGAAGGTTGTGTAGCTTCTGGGAAAAAAAAGGCTGAATTATAGATACCATAAAACAATTGAGAGAAAAAAGAGCAATATTCGTAGGACACCATTTTTTAAATCGTTGGTTTGTTTGCTGGGTTTCTTTGTTTGTTGCTTATTCATTTATTTATAAATTTATTTATTTTGAGAACAATCCTGAAGGAATTCTTTAAGAGAATGGCAAATCTTTTTTTTTTTTTTTTTTGTCGGTCATGGGACTTGAACTCAGGGCTTGAGCACTGTTCCTGAGCTCTTTTGTTCAAAGCTAGCACTGTACCACCTTGAGCCACAGTGGAGAATGGGAAAATTTTTAAAATTTTTTCTAAGGACACCTTAAGGAAAACAAGTTAGTTGTTCCATAAGAAAAAAAGTTGTTTGCCTCAAGAACCCATACAACGCTACCTCTTACCCACATTCTAAAAAGAAACATCATAAGAGGACAAAAACAATTTCAATAGAAAGTTGAAATGCTATCTGCAGAATGATTCATAGGTCTGCTTGTTGAAACACAGAAATTACCAGTCTTTAAAGTAGAAGTGGGAGAGGGGAAAGAAAGGGAAAAACAATTCCACTTCAGTGCAAATAATGTGTCGGACTTTGCTTCCAGTTTAAGACATTGCCAACATAGATAACGAGCAAATTACGAGATGGTGTGCTACTGAAAACTAAAGAAGAGAAATGAATAAAAATGAAAATGACTGAAAATAAAATGCATGTGGTTAAAATAGAATAGTTGAACAAGAATAAAGTATGGAATGTTAAAAGAAATGGGCACAGCAGAAAGAACTGATGTTTACTGACAGTAAACCAATTTTATGATCTGTGCTGTCAGTCTAACCGTTTTTTTTTCTTTCCTGCTTTTGTTCTGTAGTGAGACCACTAAGAAATCCTTGGAGAGCAGCCTACAACAACTAAAATGCCATTTCACCTGGAACTTGCTAGAGGGAGAAAATTCCTTGGATGAGTTTGAGGACAGAGTGTTTAACAAGCATGAGTTTCAGAACAGTGAGTTTAAAGCCACAATGTGTAACATTTCGGCCTACATAAAGTACCACAGAGGCCAAAACAAGGCAGCTCTGGAATGCTTACGACAAGCTGAAGAGTTCATCCAGGCAGAGCATGCTGCCCAGTCAGAAATCCGAAGTCTGGTCACATGGGGAAACTACGCCTGGGTCCTTTACCACATGGGCCGACTCTCAGAAGCTCAGACTTATGTCGACAAGGTGAAAGAGGTCTGCACAAAGTTCTCCAGTCTTTATAGAATTGAGAGTCCTGAGCTTGATTGTGAGGAAGGGTGGGCCCGGCTGAAATGTACAAACCAAAATGAAGTGGCCAAAGTGTGCTTTGAGAAGGCTCTGGAGAAGAAGGCAAAACACCCAGAATTCACCTCTGGATGGGCCATAGTGAGCTACCGTCTGGATGTCCACCCACCAGTGCAGAACTCAGAAGGTGCTCTGAGGCAAGCTATTGAGTTGAATCCTAACAATCAGTATGTTAAAGTCCTCTTAGCTCTAAAACTCCAAAATATGAATGAAGGACAGGAACTAGTTGAAGAAGCCGTAAAGAAAGCCCCAGGTGCAACTGATGTGTTATGTAGAGCTGCAAAATTTTATCGAAAACAAGGGGCCCTGGACAAAGCAATAGAGCTGCTTAGAAAGGCTTTAGAGTGCATGCCAAACAATGCTTATTTGCATTATCATATTGGCTCCTGCTATAGGTCACAAGTCCTCCAAAGAGGAGAGAAGGCAATGAATGTGGAAAGAAAGCAATTTCTGGTACTAGTAGAACAAGCTATAGATCATTTAAGGAAAGCTGAAGAGCTCAATGTGAATATCTTTCAAATAGATAGCTATCTAGCTAATCTTTATACCATTGCAGGTCAGTACAAAGAAGCAGAGTTTTACTTCCAAAAAGAATTTAGCAAGGAACTTGGTCCTGTATCTAAACAACTTCTCCATCTGCGTTATGGCAATTTTCAGCTGTATCAAATGAAACGTGAAGACAAAGCCATCCAGCAGTTTATGGAGGGTGTGAAAATAAACCAGGAATCAAAGGAGAGAGAAAAAATGAAAATCAAACTACAAAAACTTGCTAAAGCACGGCTTTCCAGAAATGAAGCTGATACAGAAGCTTGGCATGTCTTAGCATTTCTTCAGAAGTTAGGTGGAGAAGTAGAGCAAACTGATGAAGACTCTGAGATGGATGCAAACTCTGGAAGCCATGTACCTTCTGCATCATTGGATGAGATGGAGAATGAAGACTAATGGACATGATGCCCATAAATCACCTCCCATCCATAAGGCCGGATGGAGGTTGAAACCCCTCAACAACTCACTGTGCAAAGTTTTGTTTTGGTGTTTTGTTTTGTTTTGTAGGTTGTGTGGCTTGAATTCTGGGCCTGAGTGCTATCCCTCAGCTCTTCAGCTTAAGGCGAGCACTCTACCACTTGAGCTATAGTACCACTTCCAGTTTTCTAGTGGTTTATTGGAGATAAGAGTTTCACAGACTTTCCTGTCCCAGCTGGCTTTGAACTGTGATCCTTAGATCTCAGCCTCCTGAGTAGCTAGCATTACAGGCATAAGCCACTGGCACTGGGCAGCAAAGTTTTTAACTGGAATGATATAAACATGTATGAAGACATTGCTCATTGTAGTGGATCAGTATTACGGGAGAATTTTTCTATGCCAGATATGTGCACCTCAATTTCTGGGTCATGGAGAGTACTGGGAGAAAGACCACTTAGGGCATGTATCCAAGAAAGTTAGCAAACAGCCTGTTCAACTCTTATATCTAGCAGATGAAGTGACATGCTTTACTCATCTTCCATGGAATGATGACTTAGACTTATTTCTATGATTATGTTTGTGTACATCAGCTAGAGCTTTCATCCATTTCTCTATACTTTGGATTATTTTTTAAAATTCATCACTGGCTGGTCCTGCCTCACCATTTATGTTCCATGTTAAATGAAAATCAGAGGGCACAAAGCCTAGATGGTATTTCATATATCATCATCTTCTTCTTCATCTTCTTCATCGTCATTTCCTCTCTGTATATTTCTCTCATTTCTGTCTCTGTTTTTATTCTCTCCTCCTCCTCCTTTTTTTCTCCTTCTCCTCTTCTTCCTCTTCCTCTTCAGTCAATCCTCAATCTACAGAGTCTCATTCAACAGGAGTTCTATTAATTGAGGTACCCTCATAGTTTGAAGACAGAGAACAGATCAGATCCAGAAAGTTCCTATCTGGGATTAACCAGGTCTCAGGCAAACCCATGAATGACTTCTGGGAGGTGTGAGGGAGAACTTTACAACCTCTTACAATTCTAACACTTCAGGAAAAGAAGAAGGAAAAGTTTGTACTATGTACTAACAATTGAAATATTCATTTCTTTAAATCTTGTGTGTAATCTCGGGAGGCATAGACAAAGAATAATCAAAAGAAAGAATAATGGGTGTTGATTAATCTTTGTAGATTATGTTAGTCACATAGACACACTTTCATTTGTTAGCCACTGTTAGGAAATATTCTATGTAATAAGAGTTGTTTTTTCAAAATGCCTTGACGAACCCATCTTTGAGATCACAGGAAAGCAGCCAATGGGTGACTAAGGCCTAGAAGAAAGTCATAGACAGTATCATTGATAGTGATGGCGATATAAACGCCTCTTTGAAAAATCTTCCAAGATCCTTAAACATGATGGCATGTTTGTGCTGGCTGCGATTTTCTAAGTAGACATTGCATAGACAAGGTGTTGAGGTTGGTGTGAACCAAAACAGAGTCAGCTGGACCAGCCTGAGACCCTGATTCACGCTCTGTGTGGAAAATATTTTTGGCATTAGTTAATAATTAAGCATATCACAATGCTTCTTATTAAGTAATTTAAACATGTCATAGTCAAAGACATTTTTTTGTTTACTCTGGTTTTGGGCACTGTCCCTGTGCTCTTCTGCTCAAGGCCAGCACTCTATCACATGACCCACAGTGTCACTTCTGGTTTTCTAGTGGTTTATTGGAGATAAGAGTCTCACGGACTTTCCTGTCCAGGCTGGCTTTGATCCTCAGATCTCAGCCTCCTGAATAGCTAGGATTTACAGGCATGAGCCACCAGCACCCGACACTCAAAGACTTTTAAAGTTAACAATTACAACTAGTTATAACAAAGTTCCTGTTGTTATCTATATAAAAATAATGTTGGATGTGTGTGAGATCATCAATGTATACTGTTTATCTTTCTGGAAAAAGTGATACCATTTATTATTAAATAACTTACCTGTGATAGAAAATAAAACTGTTTTAGTATATGTGAAATTTCACTGTACCTTCTTTCAGACTTAAATCTTAAGAACAAGTACTGCAAAGTGAAAAATTACACTGAGTATGAACTGAACTCAGATAACCTAGCAAGTTAGTTTGCAACTACTGAATCTATAAAATTCTACAGCTTTAAGAGTCCACGGTATATGCTTCTACCTGCGCGCGCATACACATGCGTGCGCGCACACACACACACACACACACAAACACACACACATTATCCAACCTCAACAGGGTGAGTCATTTCACTTTCATGTGTTAACTTTTGCTTTTAGTCATTCCTCTGGTATCCAGCCTCTTATATGAAAAATGAGGATTCATTTCTGGTTCTGTCTTATCCCACCTTCATCGCATAAAACAAAATCAGTAACAAAGTCTACAAGTGTCTGTATATTTTCTGAAGAATTTTCCTTATTATATAAAGACTAGAAAGAATCGAAACACCTTAGTGGAAAGCCATATAGTGTACCACTGGTAAACTTACCTCATTGGACAAATGTGTGTTTTTTTTTCCCCAAACGAAGGTCTAGCTCTTTTTGGCTGAGTAGATTATTAGTTCTGGTGCTTAGGGGAAAAAAACAGGAGTGTCCTACGTGACAGGGAAGATGGTCAGGTGGACCAACCTGATCACCAGAGGCACCTGTGTGTGCTACAGAATGTGCATGCCCTTGCATGTCAGCCCAACAAACCATACTGAACTAGAATTTTGAGAAGGAAATATGCGGAAAGGGTGGACAAGAGATAAATGACTTACCCTTATTTACTTCAGGGGGTAGCGCTAATGCATGATATTGGATAGAGTAAAGAAAATTACATGTGTTGCTCCTGCTTCTGGAAATTTCACTATGAGAACAAAAAAAGTCACATTAACTAGTCCTGATTAGAAATTCCCTGGGTCTTAGCCACCTCTCCCCTCATGTGACTCACCAAGTGGCATGTCCCACAGAACTGCCCCAGGTATTAATGAAAAACTTGGTCAGAATTACCTGATTGTATTTGCTATTTGTGCAGCCCCAACACCCACCCTATCAGCATTCACTGCCCACAAAACTATTCAAAAGGTCATTTTGAGAGTTCTAGCATCTTGTCCAAAGATGTGCTTAGGTACCACTGTACCAGTGGAGGAGTGGCGTGAAATTCTGTCATTATTGTTTTGGTTTCAAGTAATGCTTGTCATTTCTCAGTGAAAAACTTCCTCATATGGAGCTCAGGTCTAGTGTCTGGGAACAGTCATAACCCACTTCCATATTTATTTTTACCTGATTAGTTTTATGACACAGCAGCAAAAAAAGAAACAATTTTATATGTAGAAGACTTTTTTTTGCTCAGTGTTTCATAATTTTAAGTCCATGGTTGTCGGGTGCTATTGTTTAGGGGCATGTAGTGAGGCAGAGCATCATGGTGGAAGGGCATGGTGGAACAGAACTGGTACCCTCATGACCGCCAGGAAACACAGAAGAGAAAGAAAGGGGCCCTGAAAGGATATCACCCCAAGGGAAATACTCCAATGATATACTTCCTCCCATGAGTGCCCACCTCTGAAAATTTCCATCACCTCCAAATAATACCAACAAATTAGGAATCCATGGATGGATTAATCTATTAATTAGTCAGAGCCCCTTCCATCATTCGCCTTCATTTCCCCCTTCCATTCCTATCCTCGAGTCATGTTATTCAATTCTCAAATAATGTACATTGAATATAATGATTGCCTTTGCTCATCCAGATTTCATTTTGATATGTTCATATATGCATACACTATATCTTGATCAGACCCACTCTGTACATCACTCTCTTTCATCCCTTCTCCCTCTTTCAAACTAATCTTAGCAAGCTTTACACTTACATAAAGTATGTTCACCATACTTATCCTCCTTCATCCTCTCTGTTCATTTTCTCCCTTCCCACTAGTGACACACCCTCCACAGGACCTTTTTACATTCTTGTCATTTTTTCTTTGTTTGGCCTATGCTAATTGTTTAAAGGAATTTCAGTCTAGTATTTCCACAAATGCTTATATTGTACTTTAAACAGAGTGATCTCCTTGCTTGCTGTAGCTTTGCCCATATCCACCTCTATTGCAGAACAACTTTCAGTGAGCTTAGGTTTAGATTTGCTATCTTCACTCACAGATCCAATGTATTTTGATACTGTTCACCCTCTAACATTCTCTTTTCCTTCTCTCCCCACTCCTGAATCTTTTCTCAGAATCCTGCTATGAGTATCCAACAAGTAGGATAAATCATGTGTCCTGTTGTCTGAGTAGACTCAAATATGAAACTCTGGTCCCATCTAATCTTACCTTTATGTTCACAAATTCAGGAGCCGACCATTCATTGGAAAATGGCTTCTCCAGCTTACCAAGACCATTTCCAAGAAAATGTCAAGTTGTGTTTATCCTCCAGTGCTTTATTTGTGTTCTTCCTGCACCAAATAATGATATCAAGGCAATTGTGAACATTAGATCATTGTATAGCCTTTGCTTCATATTCTCCTCAGAGGAAATGGAAGCAGGTCAAATTTTGTGATACAAAGAGCAACTATAGCTGCCCAAGAATTGAGGAAATGCCAAGCCTCAGCACTCTTCTGAAGACAGAAGAGGTCTTACTGATGGAGGCATGTGCTCTTAATGTTTTTATTAGTGAGCAGTTTCAATGAGATTTTTCTTGTAGTAGAATAAAATTCAATAAATTGTTTTCTGAATGGTGAAAATAAGTAATATATATCCCTCTACAACTTTTATAATCCCAAGAAAAATTCATGAATACTTTTCTTCTGTCTGAAAATGCTTTTGGAGGTTTTTTTTCTGTCTCAAAGTGCTTTTTTGGTGGAGGGGGACAGGAGTTTCTTTATTAAATTATTATCTTTAAATAGTTGCACTAGAGAGGTGTCTTTTAACAAGGCAATATATGAATACAATGCATCTTGATCAGTGTCACCTCCTTCAACAATCTCAACCCCTTTCTACCCACTATTTCCTTTGTTTCTTAATTTTCTGATATGTACAATGAATTCTTTTTTTTTTTTAATTTTATTTTATTTTATTTGAGAACATACTGTACAGAGGGGTTACAATTACATGGTCAGGATAATGCATACATTTCTTACCAAGCATTGCAGCCTCCTCCTTTGTTTACCCTTCACCTCCCTTCCCAGCCTCCCCCCTCCCCCCCACCCAATCATACCCCCCCTCCCCCCCCCCTCCGACATTGTAAAGCTGGTTTTGACATGACATTTTGTACTTCTCATGTACAATGAATTCTTGATTGCATTCTCTCTCCTTCCCCCTTCATTGTCTACCTTTCCAATACTTCTTGAGATGGCAATTAGAATAAAAAGAAAAGCAAGGAAATGAGGAGATAGTATTATAGTACTCAAAAATAATTCTTTCATGATGTTAGAATGTCCCATATTCTATAAGAAGAAAGATTTGAAGAGCCTTTCTGCGAAGTGACCGAGTTGCCCAGGTTCTTCCTGCACTTCAAAGCAAAGCCCGTCCCTAAAATCAGTACCTTCACAACATACAAATTTTCCAGTCACAATTTCCTTCTCATTTGTGCAAAGAAGGCAAATAGAGAGACAAAGAGAGCTAGATTTTTAGGGTTTCAAGCCTTGCTGAGCTCTGACTAAACACTGCATTCTGAGCAAGAGAGATCTATGTTAGATAGATAGATAGATACATACATATATACATACATACATAGATACATAGATGGATGGATAGAGCTATGTTATATATATATATATATGTATATATATATATATATAAATATATGGAATACTATATAATGTATATTATATAGTGACTGTGATAGGTGAAACTTTCTAATCCGCAGGCCAAAGACACAAAGACAAAAGCACTTCCTACTGGGGTTTGAAGGCAGTAGTCATACCTGTTATAAAGGTATGTCATTTTATTCCCAACAAGACCCCAAATTGCTAAGTAAGCCAATCAATCTGAATTCTAGACCTGCCTATGCCAATATTATTTTGGGGGGACCTAACAGCAGTGTCTGAACGTGAAGTGTCTTAGAAGACACTGTTGTTGGGAATACCATGGATCAAGTCAGTTTTGCTAACCAAGAATCTTCACTTTGTGTAGCTTCAGTACAGAACGAATCTTATTCCTGTCTCACTCAAAATTCCTTCATCATCAACCCAGCCATGAGACACCTACTGGGAAGTATCACCAAAAACTTAAAAAATATTTTTTTTTCTAAGAGTAACATTAGCCAGGCACCAGTGGCTCACACCCTTAATCCTAGCTACTCAGGAGGCTGAGATCTGAGGATTGAGGTTCGAAGTTAGCTGGAACAGAAAGGTCCCCTTAAACTTTTATCACCAATCAACCCCTCGAAAGTGGGAAGTGCAACTGTGGCTCAAAGTGGTAGAGCACTAGCCATGAGCAACAAAAAAAAGAGCTCAGGGACAATGCCCAGGCCCAGAGTTTAAGCCCTAGGAAGACAACAACAACAACAACAACAACAACAAGAGTAACATTACTTCTTTAGAGTTCAAAACATAAATGAATAAATTTATATCTATCATTCATTCAGCAATTATGGCTAGATGGATAGATAGATACATAGATGCATAGATATATAGATAATTACCATTTTAGAGCTACCAACTAGATTTAGAGCTAAATAATCACCATTTCAGAGGCAAACTACTAAAAGATAACTCCTTCTGGTATTTAACTTCCTAAATCACGTAAGGGTTTAGTGGTAACTGAAACTCAGTGATTCTATTGTGGGAAAATTCCAGAGTTCATAATGTGAATAGAGAAGTTTAAATCCAGATCTCAGGTTGCAAACTGTCTCCCTCAAGTAAATGTATTAAGTGCAATTATTTATTTTTCAAAAAAATATTTTGAGATCTTCTTTCACATCCTGCTGTCCCCCAAATCCCTAGGTACTCTATTAACAACACTGTTTCACTCCCCAACCGAAGGCTGGCCTCTTGGGAGAGTGCCTTCTACCCTCCCACTGCAGTTTCACAGTTGGAGAGTTGAGTAGTGCCTGTGACTCAGCCAATGCTGGTTTCAACCACAAGTTTCCTTTTCCTCCTCTGGATGATTTCATACCAGTTTCACTTTCTAGTTTCCTCTTCCCCTTCACAAAAGCAACTAACTGCAGAGAAACGGAAAAGCATCTGCTGGCACACTACCCACTCCTTCCCACCTTATATAGTCCCTCCTACATGGACTGGAGACAGAAGGAGAGTTTCTGAAGAAGGAACCTGGCTGGTCCCCTGTGTTTCACAACTGCAGAGAAGCAAATCGCAGTCATGAGGTTAGTCCAAATGATTCTTGTTCTCCTTCGCAAATTGTAAATTGAACCTCTTACCGGGCAGGAAAGTTCCTAGATTGTGCTTTTGCTTACAGATTCAACAGATCTGTGTTAGCTTGGACCTGAATTCACAAATTACTTATTTATATTCTATTTTAATAGCTTTCTCTGATGTACATGTTTAGGCTTCCTGATATTCTAGTAGAAGAGCTAATAACTGGGAAAAAGGGGAGGCTTCAGAGGAGGTGCAAAATTTGCCAACTGAAAGCTAGCCCTAAAGCTCTTATTCTGATGGACTTTCATATTGCCTTATTTGAAATGGCTAAACCAGTGACTTTTTTCTTCTGATTTTAAAAGGAAGTAGCAAATATTGGGAGAAACACTGCAGGTTCAATACTGCAAACTGAAATGTTCAGTTCACTCTCACATAGGAAAGTTTAAGAAAAAATTCTTACAGATAAATGATTTTTTAAAAAAAATCTCACATGGGCCAGGTACTAAGGATTCATTCTTATAACCTTGGCTACTTAGGAGGCTGAAATCTAAGGACTGAAGTTTGAAGCTAGCTCAGACAGAAAAGTCTATGAGACTCTTATTTCCAATTAACCAGCAAAAAGCTAAAAGTAGAGTTGTAGCTGAAGTGGTAGAGCACCTACTTTGAGTGAATAAAACAAGCAAGAGTGGATGTCCCTGAGTTCAAACCTTTGTACCAGCATGTGCACACACACACACACACACACACACACACACACACACACACACACACACACCCCTTATATGACAATAAAACTCAAAGTTAATTTTTATTGTTATGGTCAATGTTAAAAAGCAATACAAAGTAAGGTTGCCCCTGAAACATAATGATTTTATCTCTGATGCAATATTGGTCTAATCTCTCATTATGGGAAGTAGAAGATAACTAAAGATGGTGGGGATGGAGTAGGGGACAACATGGAATCTTTGGAGGTGGCAGGAATAGTCTACAGAGAGTTAGTATGAATCTAGGTGCATCGTGTAGTTTGTAAAGTATAATCTTAGTGAACTTGATGCTTTTATTTATTTATTTTTTGTGTGGGGGGGGTCCGGTCGTGGGGCCTGAACTCTGGGCCTGGGCGCTGTCCCTCAGCTCTTCAGCTCAAAGCTAGTATTCTACCACTTGAGCCACAGCGTCACTTCCAGCTTTTTTCTTTTTGCTTATGTGGTGCTGAGGAATCGAACCCAGGGCCTCAGGCATGCAAGGCAAGTGCTCTACCACTGAGCCACCTTTCCAGCCCCAACTTGATGCTTTTATATACATACACACCAACTAGAGTTCTATCATTGGTAGTGCTTCAGCAACAACCAGGAGAAAATTCGTCTTTCTCATTAAACACCTAGGGAAATGTCTAAGTGGTAAATTGCTCAGCAATAGGTCCCTATTAGCCACTTTGAGAATAAAGAAAAGGAGACTGGCTGCCCCCCACCCAAGGGCTTCAAGTACTCTTCAAGGTCAAAATTGAAGGTGTCCAAGTGAAATAAATTCACTGTCAACTACCTCGGGTTACCTTTTCCTATAGAATGGCCTTCTGTTTTTGTTCCTTTTTAATGATGTTAATTATGGCTGTATGAGTGGAGTTGAGAATACAGACCTTTGTCCTGTGGTTTGATGGCCTGCCTACTACAGGAGCCTATCTTTGGGCATCCAGAGCCACCCATATGAGGATGTCTGAGGGGACCTTCTGGATCACATTGGCTGAAGCACACATCAAGGTGTTCCACCAGAACATAGGCATATTTGGCTGTTCCTTCCAAGCAATTCTAAAAGTTTCCAAAAGGGAACAATCACCTGGGAACACGCCTAGCCATGGTGTCTATGAGCCCTCTGGACACCCTCTGAAGAACTCTCACAAAGCTTCCTTAAATTGTGGACTTCACTGTGGGCTCAGAGCTCAAAATCTGTCTAATTTAGTCAAAACTGGACTTAGTAATTCATGCAGTTTTATTTCTGTATCTGTTTTTTATTTAGCATGGAATAGCCTGGAGATACAGAGAAGTGGGAAGGGAGAATGGGGAAGGATCAGGAGCTTACAGAGGGCCCAGAGGGAGTGCGTGATCAGGTCCATTCAAACCCAATCTGGTCATTGAACACTGGGGCCTAAAGAGAAAAAAAAGCAGCAACTTTATTAGAAATGTGGATGGTTGTGGATGTCCATGTAAGGTGTTACTGTTCAGCAAATGTGTTCAGTCCTAAAAACTCCCAGGCCAAGATAGGTCACTTTGACCTTGCTTGTTCTGAACTAGATTACATATCTCAGCCATGATTATCTTATTGATCTACTAGACCCTCATGCGAACTCTAAACAGGGGGAACATGTCATCGTGCTCTGCAGATGCCCTGTACCACAATCAACTCCACTGCTCTAACTAGACACCTGAGATCCTGCTTGAGTACATCTGAAATAAGAAGGGGGGAATTTGTTTTTTCGGTCAATCGTGGGGCTTGAACTTTTAGTGGCACTGTGACTCAGTGGAAAACCTATTTTAAAAGCTCCAAAGATACTTCCATCTACACATTAAAATTTGAGAACTGGTATATTGCAGAAATGATACCAGTGTCTCAGTTCCTCATCCTTTAAATTTACAAAATGCCTCCTGTAGTGTCAGTGTGTAAATATGAGAAGAGGAAGCCAGAGATGTGGCAGGGAGAGATGGTGAGAAGGATACTGACATAAAGCAAAGCTTGCCCAGTTGAGGGCTACTTCAAGGATGGGAAACTGGCCATTGGAAAACATTGCCACAAAGTGAATGCTTCCTAGAGTCCTGCTGTTCCTGGTGTGATCAGGAACCAGGAAGGTGGCAAATCCTGAACTATCCTGTGACCAAGTTGACACAGAATATTAATCATCAGAGAGTACAATGATGACAGGTGTCCCTCATAATGACTGTATGTGTTTTTCTCCACAGTGAGGCCACCAAAAAGTCCCTGGAAAAAATCCTTCCACAGCTGAAGTGCCATTTCACCTGGAAATTATTCAAGGATGCAAATATGCCATATTATCTAGAAGAAAGAGTGCGGAGCCAGATTGAACTTTTAAACACTGAGCACAAAGCTACAATGTATAACTTCTTAGCCTACATAAAACACTTACATGGAAAGAATGAAGTAGCCCTAGAATGCTTACAGCAGGCTGAGGAGTTACTCCAGCAAGGCCACACTGACCAGGAGGAGATCAGAAGTCTGGTCACGTGGGGTAACTATGCCTGGGTGTACTATCACTTGGGCTTATTCTCTGAAGCTCAGACTTATATTGACAAGGTGAAGTGTATATGTGAGAAGTTTTCAAATCCTTACAGCATTGAGTGTCCTGAGATTGACTCTGAGGAAGGATGGACACGACTCAAATGTGGAAGAAATCAGAGAGCTAAGGTGTGCTTTCAGAGGGCTCTGGAAGAACAGCCCAACAACCCCGAATTTGCCTCAGGACTGGCAATTGCTATGTTCCACCTGAATAGTAAGTCTCAGAAGGAGCCTTCTGATGAAGCTCTGAAGCAGGCCATTGAGCTAAATCCTGACGATCAGTATGTCAAAGTTCTAATGGCCCTGAAACTACAAAAGAGAAATGCAGAGGCCGAAGGAGAACGATTAGTGGAAGAAGCCCTGGGGAAGGACCCTTGCCCAACAAATGTCCTTCTAAAAGCGGTCACATTTTACAGAAAAAAGGGGGACCTAGACAAAGTTATTAATCTGATTGTCAGGACAACAAAATGCACACCAAATAACAGCCACCTTTATTACCATACTTTGCGCAGCTTCATGGACCTAGTCAAACAAATGCAGGCCCCAGGAGAAGCCAGTGGAAATCAAGAGAAGATGGAGCAACTGGAGGAACTGCTCAGAGACTACATGAAGGAAGCTCTTGAAAAGAGAGCAAGTCTTCTCAATGCACACTTGGAGCTCAATGAGTTCCTGGAAACAGAAGAATGCTGTCAGAATGCATTTAGTAAAGAGCTCCCCAAGGCTAAGAGCCAACATTTCCATCTGAGGGATAGCAGCCTTCAAGAGAATCCTGGACAGGCAGAAGACACTGCTGTTCAAAATGGTTTTGAGAGTTTTTCTAGAAGCAAAGACAAACCAGAGAAGGAAGAAATGAAAAGCCAAGAACAAAACACAGATAGAAACCTACTTCAGCAAGATGCAGGGAGTTCTTGGTATCTGCAAGGATCAGTTCATGAACTGAACGGAGATCTGTTGCAAGCCCTGGCATGTTATGAGAAAGAACTAGGTTATTTGCTTAGGGAGTCCCCCTCAGGCATAGGCAACTTCTTCTTGACAGCATCACAGCCTAAAGGTGGCAATGATGATAAGGACCAAAGCCTGGAAGCTTCTCATGTCCTGGATTGATTCACAGAAGAAGAAGGGAAATGCTGAGAGTAGAAGTGTGGGGTTATGGAGAACACTTAGAAACCTAGTGTCCCCCCGGTTTGGAATTGTTCATTGTTTTAAAGTACATTTTGCATCATTATCATGTCCACATAGTCATATAGTTATCTGATTAGCTTTAGTTATCAATAATCACTAGTGGAAAGTGCTTTAGGCTTACATGATACTAATTTGTTTTCAGTGTGCATTCACTCACGTAATCTGCATCCTTGCTCCTCTTACCAACAATACTTGGTGACTGTTCACCAACAGTATCTTCAAACTTACTTCCTTAACTCCATTTCCTTCCAGCCTTTTCTGCCAGGATGATTCATGTTTGACCAAACTTGGAATATTTCTTCCATCCTATTCTTGGTTTAATCATGTCATTTATGTGTTTTTTATACTGATTTAACAATGTGTGTACGTGACAGTTATGCTATAATAAATGTAAATTTTCAACACATAATATAGGTAATGTGTGGCTTGTGTGAATGACTTAAAGCAGTGATATTAATTCTTCATGTTTCCTGTGCTAGGGATGATGGGTAATTACCAAATTATACCATACTTTTGTTTGTTCATGGTTATGGGGCTTGAATTCAGGGCCTGGGCACTGTCCCTGAGCTCTGCAGCTCAAAGCTAGTGTTCTATTTAGGCCACAGCACCACTTCAGGTTTGCTGGTGGTTACTTAGGAGTACTTATGACTTCTGAAGAGGGAGATAATCCATCGAGGCATAGCTGAAGATAACAAATTTATTTACATTATTTACACCAGAAAGGGGTCCTGTGACTACCTTGTCCTGGGCTAGATACTCAGAACCAAGGACAGCCTCAACCACCAAACCTCTAAGCCTCCAATAGGCAGACCTGACCTTTATTAGTTGGTCTGCAAACCACCTATTAGTCAGTCTGCAAACCTCCAAAGGGGAAGGCTTTTCCTTTTCTTCCCTTCCTCCTTCTCTGCTGGCCTCTCTACTTTCCACAGGCCTGCCCTGCTCTGTTCCTGCAGGCGCCTCTCCACAGGCCTCTCTAGAGGAAGGTCCCAAATGACCTCCGGAGGAGGTCCCAAATGGCCTCTCAAGGAGGCTTGCCTTCCTCAGGCCTGCCTTCAGGACTCCCGTTCTCTCCCCTACTCCCTCCACGACTTGGAACAAGGAAACTATATACCCAGATAGGCTGCACCCCTCCCCCACTAATGGTTTTAAAACCCACTGGTTTTCCTGTCCAATCAAATCATTGACTTTTACATCCTAACCTCTCCCTTCTCTCCCCGCATTGAACAGGCTTAAAATGCAAATTTAACAGATAACAAGGAGGAAACCATAGGAACACACTAGTTAACACTTGGTAAGTCTTATCCTCGAGGGATCGTCTGAGGGTCTCTGAGCAGTCCATCTTGCAGCCTTCTCTGGACATTGTTCCACTGCTGTTTCACTTGAGAGTGAGGGATCCAGTGCTGTTTTCCTTCAGCTTTAATAGTCGGCAGTGTAGTTAGCACTACTGAGTAAAGTAAGGTCCTTGCCACTTGGGTTCCAATTCAGGAGCGTGATGCCTTTTTACCCACACCAGCTGTCCAGTCAGGAAAGAATGGGTGCAGTTTTGCTCAGGAGGCCAGTGGGCCTCAGCTACCAAAGGATAGGCACACCAAAGAACATGTTGCAAAGCCTGCAGGGACTGTACAAGATTGTGGTTAGACATTCTGCTAATATAGCTTCCCCAAGTTTAGGAACCAAAGGGGGTGGTCTACCACAAATTATTTCAAAGGTGATGAATCCTCTAACATAAGGGGTACATCTTGCTCAAAGGAGAGCAAAGGGGAGGAAGCTTACCCAATCATGGCCAGTCTCTGTAATTTATTTAGTTAAAGTTTCCTTTAAGATGCTGTCATTCTTTCCACCTGCCCTGAACTCTGTGGTCTATAAATACAATGTAACTTCCAATTTATTTCTAGGGCCTTAGCTAATAATTGGGTAACTTGGACCGCAAAGGCCAGGCCATTGTCAGACCCAACTACTAAGGGTAAGCCAAATCAAGGAATTATTTCATAGAGTAATTTTTTAACTGTTACCAGAGCGGTTTCAGTTTTTGTCAGAAATGCCCAGCCCAGCCTGACAAAGTGTCCACTTATACTAACAGACACCAGTACCCATACTTTCCAGGCTTTCCCTTCATGAAGTCCACTTCCCAAAATTCACCAGGTGGGGTTCCCTCTCCACGTGTTCCAGCTTTCTAGCATTTTGGCAACTTTCTATATTAGGCTTGTCAGGCTGAGGCCCCATTGGTTTTCAAGACAGTTTTAGGCAATGGCCCGGGGCAATTTACCAGGGTGACAAATAACCAGATATAATTGAGCCTGTAACCATTTTTCACAAGTGCAGTCTCTATATTTGCACACTTGTTACCACTGTTTTTGCTTCTTCCTTTTTTTTTTTCATTTCTTTTTTTTTTTTTAATTTTATTTTATTTGAGAACATACTGTACAGAGGGGTTACAATTACATGGGCAGGATAATGCATACATTTCTTACCAAGCATTGCAGCCTCCTCCTTTGTTTACCCTTCACCTCCCTTCCCAGCCTCCCCCCTCCCCCCCACCCAATCATACCCCCCCTCCCCCACACACACACCAACATTGTAAAGCTGGTTTTGACATGACATTTTGTACTTCTCATTGTTGCAACAGGTCCACCTGAATCCTTAAACGACTTGTTTGTCCCCGTCTCCTCCACATGTTATACTGACATCAAATATAGTGAAAGCGGGGGTTACACTGTGGGGGAGGGACATACAAAGCAACAAAGAAATAATCTTATAAATGCGTTAGAAACACATGCATGAAAGAAACAAAAACATTAAAATACATATTTGAGGGTTCGTTTTCCTAACATCACATTCTCTGACTTTTTCCGCTTGACTCATACCTATACTAGATATTGCAAATAAGGGAAACCATGGGACCTATGTTTCTTTGTGCTTCTTCCTTTAATCTTAATGACTAGTAGCTCTAGATGCCCCACTGGTTTTAGGGTGGCCTCCCGAACTACTTGATTGTTTCCCTGAACCTCAGGGGTCTCTAGTTAACTTTAACTCCTGTTTAGTACTCTTAACCTCAGTCTGGAGACTTCTCCCGTTGCATCCTCCTCCTTTTCTCTCAAGCTCGCTTTCATGATCTCCTGCTCAAAGTCCTCCTTAACCTGCAAGTATTCTACCAGGGTCGCAGAAGAGTTCCTTTGCCTGTCCAACTGCTGCTCCTTCTCACAGCACCTTTGCTTGTCTTCAGCTCCTCTTTTAAGTTCTCAATGGTGCTATTGAGAGGGTTTTTTCACACCTCCACCTTTTCCATTGGGACATGCTGCTTCTGCATTATAGTTATGGTGAGGATCTCTCGGCAGTCTCTTTGGTCTTTTCCTCCACTGGCTTCTCTTTCTCATTTTTCATTTCAGTGAATTTTTGTGACAGATCTTTCTACTGTTTAGCTCTTCAGTTTTCTGCCTAATACTCTTTCCATTTCCCAGGCATTCTCCATCAGAGCATGTGTGTCCTTTAACTCTTTGGGAAGAGTAACAATCTTATTCTTGAGCCTGATGTTTTCCTGTTCATTTTCTTGGCCTCTTATTCTCTGATATGGCACTTCTGTGTCTGCTCCACTAACTGCTTTTTTAGTTCTCTGCTGCTTTGAATTCCACTCACACTTTCCAAAGTTTGTAATTGGCATGTACTTCAGCCTCAAACATTCTTGTATCATGTGTAGCTCCTTTTTCTAGGCCTTGACTTCTGCATGCAGCGTTAGAATCTCCTCTTGGCTTTGCTTGTAGTCAGCAAGGATGGCAGCATTGGCATCCTGAGCCTCCTTCAGCCTCTGACCTGTAGCCCCCAGCCTTGCCTCGTGCTCACCTAGGCTGATGCACTTGGATTTTATTTGATTCTGAGTGTTTTCCAGGTTCATTCTGAGGATTTTGTTCTCATCTTCGATTCTTACAAGTTCCTGATTTATGTCTCCAAATGTTTTCTTCACATCCTATAATTCTTAGTTTTCTCCAGTGTGCTGTTCAATGCACTTTTAACCATTTTGTGAGTTTTTACTGTTTCCAGATGGCTAACTTGCTTACTTAACCTATCATTTTCCATCTTTCTCCTCCTTGGACATTCCTTTTTCCAATGCCCATTTTGCTTGCAATAAGCACACTGGTCAAATCTTAGAGGCTCCCTACTTGCATGTGCAAATGAATTGTACTGTCTTTGCCAAGGGTTTCTTGATCCCTGTCTTGGTGCTGCTACCAAAACTTGAAATTCCTTTCCTTCTTTGACTGTTTTTCTTCCAGGGAATATCTGTTATCAAACACCTGCTGGGCAACCACAGATAACACTCTTCCCTCAAAATCTTCTAACTTTTGAAGCTTTCTTCTAATATCTGGGGCTGACTGGGTGACAATGATCATAGTTAGGGCTCCTCGATTCTCTAGGGCCTCAGGATCTATAGGCGTATAGGTCCTATAGGCCTCCAAGAGACATTCTTAAAAAGCAGCAGGAGACTCACTGGGGAGCTGCTGTACAGTCTCACCTTAGATAAATTAGTTGGTTTCCTAGCCTCTGCCCGTATCCCTGCTAACAGAGTCTGGCAATAATTGGTAAATGCCTCCTTACCTCGATCGCTGTTGTAATCCCAGCTTGGGTGAGTCAGGGGAAAGACTCACTCTAAACAGACTGGGTCATCAGTAGGTAAACCATCTGGTCCACACCCATCTTTAAGGCACTATAACAGATTTGCTCCTTTCCTCCCAGGTGAAAAGCACCTGTAAAAGTTGCTGACAATCATCCCAGGTGAGCTGGTGTGTAAAAAATACTGTCTCTAATAAGGAGATGAGCCCCTGGGGTTTTTCAGAAAAGGATGGATTTTGCTGTTTCCATTTATACAGGTCACTAATTGTAAAGGGAACATATACTAGAAAGGGGACTTGCATACCATCTCCCCCATGCACCTGTCTCAAGGGTAATAAGGGGACTGTACCACCTTCTGCCACCTCAGACTGGTACAAGGAACCACATCTGGTATAGGGGAGACTTAACATCGGAGGTGCTGATGGCACAAAATAAGAGGGAGAGTACACTAGTGGGTCTTCCTCTGTGGGATCCGCTAACACTGGGGGAGAAGATTTTTCAGTTACGAGAGCTTTAGGACATTGTTCTACTATCCTAGAAAAAAGAAGTAAGCAAAGGTGTATACAAGACACAGAATTATCAGCAAATACACACAGACAAATAGCCACAGACTCTTAACCCACAAGTCCCACATCTCTCAAAGATGACCCCTCAAGGAGGTCCCAGATGGCTCAAGAAAGCCCCAGATGACTTTGAAGCAGGTCCCAGATGTCCTCTCAAGGACAGCCCCAGAAACAGGCTGGCAAGCTTGCCCAGACTCACCACTAGAGGATTCCCCCTAATGACTCTTGTCAACATTGGTCCATCCAGA